TTGGGTAAATCAAAACAGTTCTTCATTCCACATTTTGTATCGTCCAACAACTTGTTTCAATGTTGGTAAATAAAATACTCCTAGCAGTAATCTGCACTTAGAAGACAAGCCGACTGTAGGAAAGCCGACGTTTGACATCCCAGCAACAAAAATGAACGAATAACTAAATAAAAAACAATCTTCGACAACGTGTTGCACCCATAAATACAAACTGGTCGCTTTCTGAAGCTGTGAAAATTACGTAGCTGAGACGAGCGTAGACTGACCTATCCTCGACGATAGTAAACTAAGTGAGAAGCCCTCTGTTCACCGTGACAAATCCCGGAATAAATGTCTAGGATCAGGACATAGCGTGGTTAACAATTAGTGTAAGCCACACAAAAATGGTATCGAACAGTTTCCCTTAAATGTTTCTTAACAATATCTGCTTCAGAAAATATAACAAATTAAAAGAGATATGTCCCCCTCCTTGTTTGAGGTATGATGGGCCAAACTTATCCCATTCGTAACTGTACTATCACTAATCAGAGGCGTCATTTCATCGGTTCACGGTACATTTTGCAGTAGCATTTTACCCGATATTCCTCGCTCGTGGCTTTTGATTGGTTCGGGACATCTTCGCTCGTTCAACCCTTGTTGACGATTTCTTTGGATCGCTTCGAATGTTACATGGAACTAGCAAGTAGTCACACTGTTTCCTGGGGATGCATATTAATTGGTTACTATACCTTTTAACCCTCAAAGGTCAGTCAACCAGCATTTAGACGGGAATACGTTCCCATTTTCCCTTATGGGTTTTTCAGGTTTTCGTATCAGGCGAATGCAAGTTTGCCTAATCCAAGAGTTGCAAACTATGCTTCGATGGGCCTTGTCATATCTAATTACATACTTGAGCTCGTATTTCTGTACTCACACCAACGGCATCAAACACTCGGCTCACAGTTCGAACTGCACAGCATATACTTGTCGTTTCTTAGTTGGGAATAGAAATAAGGAATGGAACTTATATAATAACACCTGAAACTCGGCACTACATTTTAACAAGCCCAAAACAACCTTCTTGAATTGATTGAGAACTGGCCAGGGATAATGTTCTATTTCTTCTGTTCTAGCATGAATATAACAATTAGTCTAAATGTACTCCTATGCTTCTTAATCCATTTTATATTTACGTATATTTCAGGCCTTTAAGATGATTTCAGAGGCACAATCAATGGACAAGAAAAAGTCGTTAGCCCCTCTTAACCATTACGCTGAAGTAGAGATGGAAATACGGGGCCTGGACGCTACCTTCCTTGATTTGCTGAAAACAAGGAGGGTGATGTCCTTTCCAAAATGGAGACAAGAATGAAAAGAATCGAAGACAGGGATTATGTTGTCCTTGAAGCAGGTGAATATCTCAAATATGATAGGTTAACCAAACCACTGTGGTACTTTGATGAATTCGTCCTCAAGTCGGTTTTATATAATAAGGTATTTCTTTGAAACCGAATGAAGATTTTCGAGTAACTCGAACTCGAGTAAATGGGCAGAAGACTTTATGGCAATAGTGTTCTACTAATGGTAAAATTTCCAACTAATTTTGATTGCGTAAGAAAGCTTCTTAAGAGCGAGTAAACCACTGATTGGCTCAGACTTGACACAAGTGCTAGATAGCATAAGTTAACAAGTGTGTGAAAATAACGGGTCAAAATATTTAATTTCCTGGGAGTACAGGGTACGCCTGGGAAACCCCATTTCCTGCATTTTTGCATAATTAATTAGCTAACCTTGCGTTGCTCCTGCGACTAACCGAAAAGCTATCTGTAAACTCAGTCACCTGGATTTTATTTTATATTTATCAGAATTTAAAAAAGTTGAATTGTTTTAACTTTTTAATTTCATTTCTTCCCTTACCTCTCTCTTAAAGTGCATATGACACTAAATTTTTTTCCCCTGTTTCTTGTAGTTGGAGATCTATAAAAAACGTTTGGAAGCCTTAAAAGTGCTGGAAAAATCTAAAAAGCATTCATTTTACTTTCAAAATACGTGCGACTTGCCTTCAAATTTGTCCCGGTCATCGCGTGGCCAAAATAGCACGTGATATCGTAACGCGACGTCGCATTGTGTACCTCAATGCAACATCAAATATGGCGGAAAAGGGAAAGAAACCGAAAGGAGGAAGACGCTGCGTCGCTGGCGCACCGATTAAAACGAGCCGTGGGAATAATTCACACACAGAGGAAACTACGATGCACCAGTTTAACGTTCATCCGGTAGTCAGAGCACAGTGGGTTCGCTTTGTGTAGAAACATCGAGTTGATTTCGGCAAGCTTGTGAATAAGTGCGTGTCCTTGTGTTCATCTCACTTCAAGGAAAGTTGTTTTACGCATAATCGGTCAATTCTGGAGGGTATGGCCGCCTCAAATTTTAGAAGAGTGCTCACAAAAGGCTCTTTAACAACCAGAGACACAGTGTTATCGCCAAGTGTAGAAGAATTTATTGATTTCACGTTTTGTTGTCGAGGGCTCTGATGAAGGAGAAATTCACACGATACTGCTCTAAGGCTCCCGCCTCACTTACCTCCTTGTTTCCTTACAGTGGGAATAACAGAGGCACTAGAAGCTTACCAGAAACGAATTAAACAGAATACCAATACAAAACTCTCCCCTACAGGTAACTCATCATTTTTCAGTTCATTTCTTGTCAAATATCAATGTTTTTATGGGTCAACTGTGAATGTTCACTACTAGTTGATACAGCTGCACATGAAGTATTTGCTGAAATTGACCTTTAAAGCGCTTTATTTTAAACAGGGGCCAACATATTTGAACTTACAACGAGTCACGATACTTAGAGAGCTGCACTCATCAGACTGTGTTAGACTATAGGTTCCTTTAGAAAAGAGGACCTTTCAAGACACCTCGGCCGTTTTATTTAATAATCTACCAAAGGAACTGAAAACCTGTGATGATTTGCATAGTTTTCCATCGCGTTTATTTAAATACTTGAATAACCGCGCGAACGCACGCCTTTAGTAATTTTAAATTAGTTTAAGTTTTAAGTGTAGAGACCGGAATGTTTAGCTATTTCAAGTTTATGACTGTAAATGTAAAATAGGTTTTTTTGTTGATCCTATAATGTATTTAGTTAATGACAGATGAAGAGCCACTCTGTGGAAACACAGTCATCACGAGCCACAGGTAAACGGAAGTTCAAATATTCGAAAAGGCTGGTTGCTATGGAGTGACGTCATAAACCGGATAAGTTTCCATCATCGCCTTGACAGCCTTTTTCGATAATTGCTCGCAGTAATCTGAGTAGTTGCTTGAATTTGTACAATCTCTGTTCCTGCTGGGTACAATGAAGCCTTTTGTTTATTAGGGGCTGGATCGGCCTATTGACATTTGGAGATTGGATTTCATATTAATATGCGTAAGCAAAAGCGGGAATGTTTAGTTTCCCGCGGTCGAGTGCAGTTATGGATCCCTTGAAACTTCGAAGGGTTGAATTGCTTCATTCTCCTCCAGATGAGTCAAGGGAATGGTTTATCTTAAATTTCAAGAAATGTGGCATAAGAGTCAGCAAGTTTTTTGAAGTAGCCTGTTGGTGGCACATTTTCCAAGCGTTTTGTACGGTCCAGCTTTAAAAAATGGCGGAAGCTTGGATGACCGATATGTTCAGAACAACAAAGTGGCCATCGCCTCTCTATTTGGAGTTGTTTCTACCATCTTCCGGCAGAAATTCGAAGAAGGAGAAGTGGTGAGATATCTTTGGTTGATCGATAAAATAAATTCTTGATCCTGGATCAAGAAAAGCTTGGCAAACGTTACTTAGCATTTTCAAGCTAAGACGAACCGGGGTAAGTCATAACGTTTATATTTTTATTAAGATTGGAAAAAGTGAGTTTGCTGTCTTATGTTTTGTTGTGAATGCTGGTTTCACGGTGTATCAGAACTCATCTCTGCTTGGCAGGAAAATCACATAATTNTTGCTTTGGTAATGGAATTTCTCGCGGCTGAGAATTAAAATCGACGACTGGAAGACTTGCAACTTGCCGATTCTGGCCGTGAATTGTTTGTTTTTTTTTTTTAATGATCTATCTTTAGCCATCACCCGCACACTTAATTATAACTTTTTTTTTTCGCGGATTTTGGATGCTTTCCTCTTTTTTTTTTCATTTAATTACCAATAAAGTCGACTTTTCTCGTTCAAAAAGGCCTATTCTATTTATAGGGTAAACAAAACAATATATGGTTGCTTTTAGATGTGGAATTTCTTCTCCTCTTTCTTGTGTTCAACTCGATATCTCACTCATTCACAGCGCTCATTCGTGAGCTGTCTTGTATTACTCGCTATTTATCACATACAGGGAATCAGCCTATCAACCTTTGGTCACCAATTATTCATACATGCATTATGCATGTACACTCATGGAGCTGTCTGACTTCGCATACTCTCGGGTGACCTTCTCGAAAACATTTCTTAATAGTAGCAGTTTTAGATGCCACGGTTAGACACTTTGGTTTTAGTTTACTGTGTTGACTAGCGGTTACACATAATTTGCGATATGTTATGTGAAAACGTGTCACGTATCTCACCGGAGGGAAATATTGAATCTAAAGTTTAGTCGTCCAGTTTGATAAGATTCACCACTTTACGCTTCCCACTTGTTGAAAAACTTGACGTGAAGAAGATTTGAAGCGACGATTGCTGTACAGCTCACAACTAAATACCGTTGTCTTATCAGTTACTATACAAATTTGCACTTACCTTAGGCCTATGTTCGTCACAATTGCAATAGCCTTGCACACACGCGTATGTCCGCACGATTTCCGCTTCCATTCGCAAACGAACCAACATCAGGTATATGTTTTTGTATTTGTTTAAAGTTTACCGTTTTAGTAATGTCGACGTGCGCGAGATATAACATACTGATTCAGCTAGAATTCATCATCGACAACGGCGTAAAGCCGCATAACGATTAGATAGCAAAATCTGTCACATAACAAGGAGATCAGTAAATCCAGGAAAATATAAACTGTTTATATTCTCTTTGTAATATATAGACTGACTTATTCAGTGCAAAAACTACTCCGTTGCATATCATGCTTTTCGGTACTTTTGCGAAAATCACCTCAATAGCATATTTCATAATTATTATTCTTTATATTTCCATCGGGGAAACAAAGTTCAATTGATTTGATTAGCCGATTAATTTGCCCTACTGAAGTGATTTATTTGTTCGAGGTCGATGACGATCTTTCTGTTTAAATAATTCATAAGTGCAATACAGCTTCAAGGAAGAGGTTTGAATTGTCTGGAAAACGCGTACCTGATGTGCCGTCCATCTGGCTTTGTTAAGAGATGTCTTTGAAGCAGCCTCTGTGTGTGTTTTCGTTTCATCAATCGTTTTTGTTCCTTCGCATGAAATACCAGGATCCTCCATACCTCGAATCATGTCTGTTGTGTTGTCAATTCTGTCGACACTTTTCACTGCCAGTGCATCCCAAGTCACCCGTGGATGAAAAAATAAGCAATACAAAGTAATCAAAGTAACGATGAAATAAACCAAAATAAACCAAAACCATTCCATCTCAATTTTTAAGACAAATTATTGTTTAGTGCACTCGAGCGAGAATTGCAATGTCTACTCTGCAACGTAATCAGATATGCCCTAGTTCTTAGTCCCCTTCTTTGGCAGAAGAAGGGGACTAAGGCCATTCGTTTCATTTCCTTGGTAAAATGCAGATTTGATGTGAACCATACTGAAATTCATTATTCGCTGGCTAAATGAAATTCTAGAAACAAAAGGGCTGATTTGAGTATTGTGTAATCGTTGGTGAATGTCTTTCCTTCTTTTCTGGTCTTCGACTTACTAATTAGCTTTAAGATTTATCATTTGAATTAAATATCATCTTTCCTCTGTATGCCTCTCGTTTTCAAATACACCGCTATTAGAAAATTCCATTCCATCCTTCTAGCTCTTCTTGAGGTGATTCCTTTAAAAAAAATTATCCAAATATAATTTTTAAAACTTTCCTNGCAAACGCGTTCATCATATGGATAATGGTATCACGTTCTCCCAAAGATCTGGAGATACCCTTGAATATTCCTAGCCTCTCAGCAAGAAGGTCAAGAATGAATATCAAGGAGGCGCTAAAGTTGCAGTGTGTGTAAATTGGAGTGGCCATTGAGACTACGCCCTCGGAGATATCATGTTGAAGATTCAGAATTTGCATTTTTGCTAAATTGTGTTGCTCCAAAAATTGTTGAAGAGGCAAGGTGAAAGCATTCGCAAATACATGATTTTTATCTTCCCACTGTTGCAAAATTACTTGCAGTTCTTCGTCTAACTCGCTTATGGATGGAAGAGATCCGGATAGTTGGCAGGCGATCTTTGCTCGCAAATCCTCTGATTTGAGAAATTCGCAAAGCTTTCTTTCGACCTCGTTGGCGCGGGCTGTCATATCTATGCGAATCCTACCAATAAGTTGGGTTTGTTGTCTCTGAAGCACTTCTAGACGATAAAGTATAGTGTTCATGTTTTTCTTGACCTTTTTACGATCTCTAGTGGCGTTCATCGTAACCATCTTTGTTTGGCAAATAAGTTGGTACATTACAAAATCAAGCCATCTGTATTGAAATGGGAAAATAAAAAGAGCAATAAAATTTTAAACTTAGTTTTGCAACTCGTAGTATTTAAGTATGAGTTAGGTTACATGCAAAACAAAGATTAGCAAATGACTAAATGGTCAACGTAATGATCCTTCCCTTTGTAAATGACCTTGCTTGTTTATTCCTTTAATTTAAGTTCCTTTAGTTTTCTCATAAATAACAGTGTTTGGAGGACAACGACATCTTAATAATTCAAAGCTTTCCTTATCGTACTTATCTATATTGTTTACCCCTCAGCTTTCTTTTCAATAAATTTTCTTTAACAGTTATAATCAACATAAATCTATGACACCCAATTCCAAATTTAAAGAATGTATGCACCTACCTCCAGTGAATTTCCAACCTCTGTTCTATCCATTTCACGACAAAAGAGCGTATACCATTCATCAGGGTAATAAAGTCGGCTTTGATTTCCCCACGGCTCTGTGCATCAAGAGCGTTTTTTGCTGACATGTAGATGATCTGAGATTCAGGAAGAAGACCGGGCCACCACTCTGTTAATTTGCCCACTATGTGTTCCTTCACTTCGACAGCTTCCTCCTCTGGAACTTGGTCCCATTTGTTACATACGAACAAAGCACATCTAGAGGGAAACTCTTCTTGTCTCTCACGCGCTATTTTACCAAGCTCGCTCAGTAAATATACAAGCTTTGTGTGAAACAAAAGGTTGCCAATTAACAACATACCATAAAGAGCTTTAAAATTAATCTGCGTCAATTTTATTTTATTTTATCTTTATTTTATTTAGCTTCGCCAACTGGCAGGGACA